AATGTAGAGAGCATTGATTCTGCTGATTTTATATTGATATTCTATATTAATTTAATATTAGATTATATTTTCTAATGATGTAAAGAACTTACTTGCTATAAAAGTGGCAAAAGAGTAAGTGAATTAGTAGAATTAACATTTGATAGGATATTGATTTGTACTATTATTTATTGTAAAAAAAAATGTCGTATGTAAAGAACCTACTCGCTATAGAAGTGACAAAAAAGTAAGTGTATTAGTTAGAATTAACATTCAATAAGGTATTGATTTGTAGCATTATTTACTGTAAAAAAAATATTGTATATAAAGAACTTACCTCCTATATAGGTGACAAAAAGTAAGTGGATTAGTTAGAATTAACATTTGATAAGGCATTGATTTGTACTATTACAAGGAAAAAAGTTGTATGTTAAGAACTTACCTACTATATAGGTGATAAAAAAGTAAATAGATTAATTAAAATTAACGTTCAATAAAGCATTGATTTGTATCATTATTTATTGTCAAAAAAAAAAGTCATATGTAGAGAACTTACTTCCTATATAGGTGACAAAAAAGTAAGTGAATTAGTTAGAATTAACATTTGATAGGGCATTGGTTTGTATTATTCTTTACTATAAAAAAATGGTATGTAAAGAACTTACCTCCTATATAGATAACAAAAAAGCATGTGGATCAGTTAGAATTAACATTTGATAGAGCATTGACTTGTATATTATTTACTGTAAAAAAAATGACATGTAAAGAACTTACATCCTATATAGGTAACAAAAGTATATAGATTAGTTAAAATTAAAGTTTGATAGAGCATTGGTTCGTACTATTAAAAAAAGTAAAAAAAAATATATGTAAAGAACTTACTCGCTATTGAAAAAACAAAAAAGTAAGTGGATTAGTTAGAATTAACGTTGATAGGGCATTGATTTTATTATTATTTACTGTAAAAAAAAATTGGTGTATATAAAGAACATACACCCTATATAGATGACAAAAAAATATATAAATTAGTTCAAATTAATTTACTGTAAAAAAAAATATATGTAAAGAACTTGCTCCCTATATAGGTGACAAAAAAAGCAAGTGGATTAATGTTCAATAGAGCATTGATTTGTACCATTATTTACTGTAAAAGAAAGTCATATATAAAGAACTTACATTCTATATAGATGACAAAAAAGTATATGAATTAGTTAGCCAATAAGGCATTGATTTGTAACATTATTTACTGTAAAAAAAAAGGTCATATGTAAAGAACTTACATCCTATATAGGTGACAAAAAAAGATGTGAATTAGTTAAAGCTAATGTTTGATAGGACATTGATTTGTACCATTATTTACTGTAAGAAAAAAATGTATATTAAGAACTTACTTCCTATATAGGTGACAAAAAAGTAAATGAATTAGTTAAAATTAATGTTCAATAGAGCATTGATTTGTATTGTTATTTAGGCCACTCCAAATTGATTCTTCATTTAACATAACATTAAATAGTTTATAAGAATGGAGGGAGGGTATGAAAAATACACAAATTAAAAAACAGCAATTTTATTAGTTGATTTAATATGTGTTAGTTATATAAAATTTAAAAAATCGAGGAGGATAAATACTATTAATTATTATTAATGAGTATTGGGTTCATATAAATTTTAAAAAAATAGGGGTTATGTTAAACGAAGAATTAAATTAGTCTGGCCTAAGTCGATAAAATCGATTCAAATACACCAATACAGACATAAACACCACAAAGATCTATCAATTTATTAATAAAAAAATTTTATTGATCAGAATATTAATCTGTATATATGCCATATGTTTTTGCAATAAATGAAGTGTATATATATAAACTCATATCGATATATGAATATCAATTTTCCTATGGAAGCCACATTAACTATATATAGATACTAAACATCAAACATAACGATAATATTTAGAAAGAAAATTAGGACTATTTGCAAAAGACAAGATAAACACATTAGATCTTAGAAGCCTAACCAGTTTGATCCGGTTCTACTAATTCTACATTTTTATCTTCTGACAAAGCTGTTGCAATTTCTTCAGGCATTTCAACAGCAAAACCCTTCATTATGACTGAATCATATTCGTTATAAATACGTGCACCAATACCAATGAGATATTGCTTTAAACTCTCCATCTCCTCCTTCGATACACCTGGCTTCAATCTTACAATATACTTTTTGGTGCCTAATGACGAAGAAACTTTAAGATTTTTTTTTATGGAGTTGACAATAAAATATAATTTTAATCATACTAGGTTTTTCCTTGGCGATGGGACCATCGTTCGTAGTCATAATACAGACAACTGCGAATGTGAGTATAGACAAAAGAACGAAAATCGCAAATTTGTCTCTTTTTCTGAGAGACATGATTAGTCAACAGCCACAATTTATCGCTACGTATACGTAAAATATAAATAAATATACAGTAAAGAGTAGAGTATGACAAATCATGTGAAGACAATTGATTATCTAGCATTATTCTTGCGCCAATTTTGCAATTGTTTTTCCTTGACTCTTCGAGCAATTTGAATTTAAAATGGCTGGAACAAGCCAAAGAATCAATATTTTCCCCACTAGGATGTACAGTATTAGTACTAATTATATAGCGATCTAACTCTTTTTGCCTCTACATTGTACCATTTATTTACTTATTTATGTTTTTTTTTTTTTTTTTTTTTTGACTCCAGGGCTTTGACTTTAATGAAAACAAAGTTAAAGGGAGCTCAAACGGGGCATAGCTTATTAAAACGTAAGAGTGAAGCGCTCACAAAACGTTTTAGAATTATAGTTCAAAAGATTGAAGATGTTAGTGTGCTGTCTTTTTCTGATGTTACTACAGTCAAGGCCTTGATATAATCATGTTGGGAACAAACATTTGATTATAAAAAGTTGTGACTATTTGAAGGTCAAAATTTATATAGTTTATAATGGCTAGGACTAAATAGTAGTGGGATTATAATAAGGCGTGACTATATCAAGAGTGACTATAACGAGGTTTGACTGTATTTTTTTTGATCAAAACCTTTGGACATCTTAAATTCACACTACTTTATATGTTCATAAAGGCTAAGCAGAAAATGAGTAAAATAATGCAAGCAGCTTCCTTTTCATTGGTCGAGGTGGCTTACATTGCTGGCGATATTAAGTGAGTGCCCTGGTCATATCATGAATTTGATTGTAATTACTAATATTTAATACTAAATAAATGTCGTAAAGTTATCAGGTTCAAGAAAGTGTTAAAAGTGCACAATTACGTGTCCGCACAAAACAGGAAAATGTATCTGGTGTTATGTTACCTGCATTTGAATGCTATACGGAGGGTTCTAATGGTTGGTGGTTTTCGATTTATTTATTGTGATTTCATTTATAGAAATTTTTCATATCGTCTAAAAACTGACTATTTTTATTCAAGTTTTTGAATTAACTGGTCTTGGGCGTGGTGGTCAGCAAGTTCAAAAATGTAAGGAAACTTATGTTAAAGCGGTTGAAACTTTAGTGGAATTGGCTTCGCTGCAGGTACAATACATTCAAAAAGCATAAAACAATTATATATATGTCATTTAGTAATTCTTAGATTCCCTTTAGACAGCCTTTGTTATCTTGGATGAAGTCATAAAGATGACCAATCGTCGTGTCAATGCAATTGAATATATTATTATACCAAGAATAGAAAATACTATCAAATACATTATTTCTGAGTTAGATGAACAAGATCGTGAAGAGTTTTTCAGGTAAAGTAATTACAAATATCTCATTAGATAAACTTATTAATTACTAATCACTATCAACACTCTAAAAAGATTAAAAAAAGTGCAAGGTAAGAAGAAGAGAGACCAACAAGCTGTCGACACAGAGCGTGGACCTGTAAGCAGTGGTGAGTTACTTGATAAATTGTACTCTGGTTATTTGAAATTGCTTTATCGATTTTATATGTATCCTTTTTTTTTTCCTAGAAAACTCACAGTACGCTCAACCTGCGGACATATTGGATAATAATGACGATAGCGATCTTATTTTTTAAATTGGACGAACACAAATTAAACTTGTTTTCTTTGAGATAGCTTTTTAGGAAATTAACATTAAACGTGTAGAATTTGATTTACCATATATCAATTTTATTTATTTATTTTTGCAAAAAAGGAAAACAGTGTTTTTGTATTATATATTGCTAAATATAAAAAACATCGCATATCAATTTTATAATAAAACTGAGACTATAATTCTAATATCTTACAGTATATAAATAAATTTGTTATATACAGTCGACTCTGGATATACCGAACTGCATATTCTGGTATAAAGTAGGGTCATTAACCAATGAAACCATGTGTATAATCACATGCATTTTCGAAATTCTTGGAACTTTATTCGAAATTTTTGCACCGTATTTGCCTTCTTCCCATTGGATTGGAAGCCATACCATGTATATTGATTTCCTAGTAAATGAGGCAAAGAATCACGGGTTTATAAAGTTCGTCCGGAAATTGTTGATTTTGAAGTAAGGTTTGATGGTACTGGGGAATTGCTATTTGGTAATATGTTTGAATATTTTCAATATCAATAAAGCGGCCTGATTCCGCAATAGATTGGAGAAAGACTCCGTATTGAAGGGACATTATGCGTAATCTCAAATAATCTTTAGTAAAATGATGGAAAAATGAGCGAAATAATATAAAACAAGACAATTTTCGCCTTGTAATTTGGATAATAAATAACCGCAAATACGTATGGATTGAATTTTCACCACAGAAATAGAAGAAAGCAGCCTTTTATATATTGTACGTACGTACGTACCAGTTTTTCGTTAATAAACATTTGCCAATCAATTATATATATAAAATTTAGCAGTATTATATTTATTGCATGATTAATTAGTGTATATTTTTGGTATACAAAAAAAAGGACTAAATCTATAAACAAAAACTAATCGACCACGTAAATTTTACGTTTTTTTCGGTCAGCCTTTTCTTCTAAATCCCTTACTCTCTTTTCTAATTGTTTGTTTTGTTCTTCTAATCGTATAACTCTTTCAAATAAAGATAAAAAGTTATATTCGGGCCTAGAGTTGGACTCTGGGTTAGGGTTGAACTCGGAGGGCTCAGGGTTAGGGTTGGACTTAGGGTTGGGCTCAATTTTGGGTTCAGGATTGGGCTCACGGTTGGCTTCAGGATTGGGCTCGGAGTTGGGCTCGTCAGGTTCAGGATTGGGCTCACGGTTGGAGCTGGGCTCAAGTTCGGCTTCGGAGTTGGGCTCGGAGTTGGGCTCAAGCTCGGGTTCGGGCTCAGGGTTGGTGGGTTCAGGGTTGGTGGGCGGGTCAATATACTGATGTATATAGTATTTTTAGTATACATATATCGTTTGTTATTAATAAGTGCCGGCAAAATAAATATATATATATATATAATCACCCTTATTTTGTCACCGCTTTTAAATGAAAATCTATAGTATTCGGCCGCTGAAAATTTAACACTATATCTATAATTTGTTCCATCTTTCATTCCGTAGTAAAATTTACTAGCGTCGATGTGATTTTTAAAATGAACGTGGGCGTGACTATATAAAAAAAAAAAATTAATAATAAAAAAAACCATTAAAAATATTAAAAATTTATATAATATATACTGTATATAATAATAATTTACTTGTGGCTATCCTGTTTTTTTTTTATGTGAACAAATTGGTATTCGGATGCTGATCTAAGCCAGGTCTCCAGATCTTCAACGCTTATATTGGCAAGTTTCCTGTCATTAATACGGTAAATTCCGGATTGCTGCAGCACAAACGCGTTCCTACTTCTTATAATAAAAGAAGAAATTATTAGTACTTCTTTTCGCAGCCAAAAGAGAAACGTTAACAACTCTTTTTCCAAGGTCAATAGCTTTGACAAAAAGATTTCCATCTTTTCTACAAAGGAAAAATGGGCTTTCAGGTTTGGACCTCCCGTAGGAGTATATGGAGTTCCTGAAGTGAAGTTGGAACTCCGAAGGAGAAAGGTAAAAATCTGAACAAGAAGCTTATAGTAGGAAAGAAATTATTCCTACCTTCCATGTTTTCCATGATAAACATATTTTGAATAATCACTAAAAGATGTTTGTTTTGATCAAATTTATCGTGATTTTTATAACTGTTTGATATGCACCAGAAGGCATGCCCATATCATGTGATCACAGGAAAGTCCCACGCATATAATTGGCTGATATAATCTATTTCAGCACTTTACTTAAAAATCAAATGATTATTAACAATATAAATCTTATAAACTTAAAGATAATTAGAATGTTCAATATAAGTTTAAAGATCTTTATTATAGTATTATTTAGCTTAATCTATTATTTTTAATAACTAATATATTCTGTATAAATTTAATATTATAGAAATTAAATCCTAAAATCATTAACGAAGCATATATTCAATGCTATAACGAAAGCTATTATGTTGCATAAACAATTTTATTATATGATTTATATATTAAGGGCATGTCTGGGGCATGATAAGTAGGGCATGCCTCAGGCTGAGGCATGCCTCCTAGGGCATGCCCAAAAATTTTATTATGCCTCCTACTCTATTTAGGAGGCCAACCTGTTTTGGATTAGGTAAACAATACCAACTGTTTTGGAGATTTATGTGTCGATCTTTTGGAGAAGATAAGCTAAGACGCTCACTTTTTAACAAAATTTTCTCAAAAAAAAGTGGTGGGTCAACGAAACTTTGTAGGTTCTTCCTTGTAAGTTTTATAGTTGTATAGATACTATTTCCAGTTTTTTTAATATACTTAGTGTCGACCTAGTCATTCTATGTTTTCAAAATATTCTTCTAGTTTGGATGTCAAATATAATAGAGGAGTCTACCTAACAGAGAAGTTTGACCTCTACAAAAACTATACAAAGTAGTCTGCTCCCAATTTTATACTCTTGGTACTTTGTCGACAATACACCTACTTGTGTAGAATCAAATATATTATCACTCTTTGATGTCTTCTATAATGCTGATCGTAGTTCGAGTTTTTGAAATTATTGACTAGAGGATCATCAGAAAGAGTTGTAAATGAATAAATTTTTTTATTTTTTTATTTTATTTTTTTTTATTATACTTTCGCAATGTCGCAGAAAGGTGGATTTTTATTAGGTATTTTTAGTAGTATATTTTTGGTTAACAAGAGTATATATAGCCACATTTGCAACTTTTAGTCATCTAATTTAAGTAGTTCGTCTGAAGGTTCTACACTATATGCCATATCTGTAACCTAACTAGGAGATTATCTATTTAAATCTTCTGATATTTCCAGTCCTATACTACTACCACAATTACACCAATCTATAACCTTTTTTTTATTTGAATTCAATAAATTTATTAAAAAAAATTTATTGAATTTAGTCAGTTGATTGTTAAGATATGGGGAGTCAATAGAAAAAGAATAAATTTTTTTTAAGTAAAAGTTTTCTTAACAGATCAAATATAATATAGGTTATCCTTTTTAAAAAACCATTAAACTTACTAATTTTATATAGTTGTTTTATTGCAAAATTATAATCATATCTGTGGTGTTTAACTAGTGTTCAAAATAAACTGGCTTATTATAGCTTGCTGTGGCTTAAATGGTTTATCACATAATAAATTCAAATTTATCATGTGATATGTTCGAATTTGTTATACAAAATGTGACAAGTTCGAATTTATCATGTGATAAGCCATTTAAACCACAGCAAACTGTGATAAGCCAGCTTATTTTGAACACTATGTTTTAATATCAGTTATATAAAAATCTGTATAATATACACAAGTCGAATGAAAACATATGGCAGATGAAATATTAGATAACAATCAGTGATATATCAGGTTCATATAGAAATTTGAAATTTTGAGCTTAATCGGAGACCTATTAGCATGCCAATATTAACATGATATTATTTGTATATTATACTGATTTTTTTAATAAACTACAGAAGGAATAGGCCTAATATCAGTATAATCGATATTTATTTGTTATTAATTCGATATTAATC